CTTGATGGCAATGGGTCCTGGTTTGGCCCTGGTGGAGCCGACTTTCCAGAGGCAGAGGCAGATCCAAGGAATCCCATGTTTATGAACTGTGATACGTGCTGAAAACGGGAGGCCCAGGCTGCTTTGGGGGAAGACTGGAATACCGGGCAGGGGGCAGACTTTAGTCTGAGTGTGAGGAGTAATGCGGCTGCTGAGACCTGAGGGTGAGCAGACAGGACTGATGGCCTGTCATGGGGGTGGGGACCCTGCCTGCCTCCCTTCCCTCCCTCCAGGGAATTGGAGCTTGTCCTAGGCATTGGAGTTTGTTCTTAGGCCCTCCTCAGCTCTGCCCTGCTGGGCCCCACCGCTCAACATACCCTCTAGTGGCCACAACGCACACGAGCTCTGGGCTGGATGGGCCTGTGAACCCGAGGACAGTGGGATTGTCACTGCCCTTCCCTTCCTGACACTGTCTCCACTCAGACACAGTCTCCCTGTAAAGAGGGCTACCTCCGGGCCCTTCTGTCATTTAATCTTGGCAACCATTCAGCATGATTCCTGCTCCCATTTTACAAATGAGAACCCCAAAGCTTATAGAACTGAGGGAGGAAAGAAGGGTCAGTACTGAACCCAGTCAAGCAGACCCATTTCAGTGCTCTTCAGGAGTACATCCTGCTTAATAGCGTCATCCCCAACCCCTACCCTCCCTACCCCCCAATGTCACATCTCCAGGTAAGCAGGAGCTGAGGCCAGACTTCACTTAAGTTACCACCCAGGGAAGAAGGTAGCCCTCCGGAAGAAGGTCACTGAGCAAGTCTTTCCTTGGCCTGAGGCCTCCGGAGCACAAGCCTCACAGGCCGAACATCTCTTTGTCATGTCGTTATGTTAATGAGGCAGGATTAGCGTAGGGTGTATCTTTAGTCAATCTCTTTTGAGATAAAAAAGAGATTAAAAGCAAACTAGAAGCAGTGATGAGGGAAGAGAGATGCCAAGCCACATGAAGGTCACCGAGGAGCAGAAGCTTAAGAGACAAGAACCTTCCTCCAAGCCACAGAGAGAGACTTCCCCTAGAGCCAGCACCCTGAATTTGGACTTCCAGCCTCCTAAACAGTGGAAAATAAATTTCTCTTTGTTAAAAGCACCTACTTGTGGTATTTCTGTTATAGCAGCACTAGATAACTAAAACAATTCCTCAGGGCGTTTCCCCAGGCACCCTGCAGAGCCGAGGGAAGTGTGATGAGAAGGCAGGAGCCACAGTGCACACTCTTATCCCCAGGGGTCTGTGCTGAGCAATCCTGGAAGCATCTCCATCCCTGCCCTGCGGGAGGCCCTGCATGTAACTTCTCTCCTGTCTGCTGTCCCATTTCCTTTGTGACTTAGTTATCTAGTCTAGGGAATGCTTTCTCTCTCTGTTGGCTCTGGAGGAAGGTCCTTGTCATCAATCTTCCTCCAGCATAGGAGCTTCTCAGCAAAGGGACCCTGGGTCCAAAGGACACGCTCCACTCCAGGCTCTTCTTTCTTGGTGATAGAAGGTCCCTCTCCCTCTTCTTGCTTCTCTCTTTTATATCTCAAAAGAAATTGACTCAAAATATAACATAATCCTGTACATTGTGTCCTGCCTCATTAACATATGTGCCTCTAATCCTACCTTATTAACATCATAGAGGTTAGGATTTACAAGACAGAGCAAAATTACATCAGATCACAAAATGGAGGACAACCACACAATACTGGGAATCATGGCCTAGCCAAGCTGACACACATTTTGGGAGGACACAGTTCAATCCATAATGCTTTGTTTCCCATTACACACATACCCCTTCCTCCAGCCAGATTGGCTGGGTTCAAATCCCGCCTCTGCCACTAACTACAAACTTGAGCAAATTACTTAATGTCTTTGTGCCTCAGTATCCTTATCTGTAAAATGGTGGTAACAACCATACCTATCCCCAGAATGTTGTTATGGGAAGTCTTGGACCTCACCTATTACACTCTGATTCAGCAGGTCCAATGCAGGTGGCCCCTAAGACCACATTTGGAAAATCACCGCCTTGAAGGGTATGCATGGGGAACACAGACCTATACACCACTTCCTAGCTGTTTGGGGTGAGCATGTCGTTGTTGCTGTTAGGTGCTGTGGAGTAGATTCCAACTCATAGTGACCCCATGTGACAGAGTAGAACTGCCCCGTAGGGTTTTCTAGGCTGTAATCTTTACCGGAACAGATTGTCAGGTCTTCCTCCAGCAGAGCCTCTGGGTGAGTTCGAACAGCCAACCTTTTGGTTAGCAGCTAACCGCCACCAGGGCTCCTGGTGAGCATACATCCTTTTTTATGTATTTTAGCACTCTCAACAGTATCCTCATTTTAATACCACGTCAAACAGGCAAGTTACTGGGCCTGTTCCTTCATCTGTAAAACCGAGGTAATAATAGTACCTGTCAGGGTTGTTGTGGGAATTAAATGACTAAGTCCATGTAATGCTTGGAACATGGTCATGCACATAGTAATGATTTAATAAACTCGAAAATGTCGAGTAGGCTTCGGCTCATGGCTACCCTATAACCAAAAAAACCAAACCCAATGCCGGGGATGCTGTGAAGTCGATTCTGACTCATAGCGACCCTATAGTACGAGCTATTATTACAGTGTGTTATGATGCTGAACAGGTTGGGCGCTTCCAGACTAAGACTAGGAAGGAAGGACTGGCGATCTACTTCCAAAAACCAGCCAATGAAAATCCTATGAATCACAAAGGTCTGATCCCATTGTCCCTGGCGTTGCTATGAGGCAAGCTGACTTCGAGGCAGCTAACATTATCACTGAACATTATTAACCAGCACATATTCTGATAAAATACATCGAGTTTCTCATTGCATTTTAAGATGCATTAATTTCCCTGGGAGAGAGAGGTGACTGAAAGCGGCCGCAAGAGAGGTTTCTGGAGTGTGGATCACGTCTTCTGATCTGCATGATTACGCTGGTGTGTATACTTTTCGAACATTTATTCTGCAGTTCCCTTGAGATTTGTGCACTTAAAATGCACTATTTCCCCGGTCCTTCATGGTTCTGTGAAGCGCGCAGGGTAAGCATCAGTATCTCCATTTTTTAGACAAGAAACTGAGGCCAAGAAAGCTATTTTGATTTAGCCAAAGAGGTAGGGGATGGGGGTGGGGAAGCTTCTCAGTCTGGTCCTCCATCCGGGAGAGTAACCGCCTCTCCCAGAAAGCGCGGAGCGAACAGTACCTGGCTCCAGGTAAAGCCTGGCAAAGGGTTCTGAGTCCTTCCAGCAAATATTGCCCTTCCCCCAGCGCACACACAGACGCCGGGTCGGGCACTCGCTCGGCCACACTAACAAGCCCAGCCCCACACGTGGGCACCCCCGAGGGAGACCCGCACGCTGGCACCCCTGGGCCGCAGCCGAAGAACGACGCCCAGCCGCAGGCCAATGAGAGTAGCGGAATTTCTTTCATTCAGTTAGGGGCCGGGCTCGTGCCCGGAAAGGGGCGGGGCGCTGCGCCGGAGGCGGGCCGCCGCTCTCCGAGGAGAGGGCGGTGCCCGCCCCGGGGCCCGGCCAATCGGCGCCGCGCCCGGGGGGGGAGGGGGGACCAGGCCTTTTTTCCCTCCGCGCGGGACCAATCCCGACTTTACAAGCTTGAACTTTTGCCACCCTCGGACGAGCGAGAGCGCCCGAGGAGGTACCCCGCCGCGCCGGCTCCAGGGGCTGGAGCGGCCTTAACCCTTCCTGCGCCGGGCGGCCCGCTGTTGCCGCCGCGCCCCCCACCCTACCCGCGACCAGTCGGCGCGGGATCCCGCCCCCCAACCCCTCCCCCATTTTTGTGGTGAAGCTTCGCCGGAGAAAGCACGACCCTTGCCCACATCCTTCTCTGCGTTGACGAGAGACAGTTGGGGAAGGGGGAGGAGGAAGCACCTGGCCGCAAGGGGTCCTGAGATGGCAGGGGGCCCGAGGGAGGGCCGGGGCGACCGAGCGGAGCCTCAGAGGAGAGGCTCCTCGTCTTTACCCTACCCTTTCTAACTCCCCACCTAGGGCGAGCCTGGAACCCCCTTGCCCGAAGCGTTCTGCAGCCCTCCGTATGGCCCAGCGGAGCGGCCCCCGACTTTGAGCAGGGGGTGTGGAGTCCTCGTGCCATCACGGAAGATCTCGCTGCCCCAGCATATCAGCCTCCCCTGCTCCCAGGCGGCCCAAGCTAGGAAGGCACACACGTACATACACTTTTATTAGCCTTCCCTTGGATAGGTGTTTGGATCAACTCTAATAAAGTGCAGTGTGTGCTTTTAAGTTTGTGCACAAGCCAGAAAGAGGCAAAGCGCCCTTTCTGCGTCCGAGTTTATCAGTGGGTCCACCAGGTCCTTGCGCGCCCGCCCGTGGTTTGTGTAAGTGTGTGTGTCT